TGGGGGGGGGGGGCGTACTCGTATGTCTTGCATGCCTAAGCTATTACACCATTGACCACGCTTCCTCGAGAGGACGGAGAACTGTTCCCGCAGGACCGATCACCGATGGCTCAATCGTTCCTTCCTACTCTGCAAACGGTGTGTGTGTGGGAGGGGCGTACCCATGTTTTGCATGGCCTTACATAGCTGATAGATCCATTGATCACGCGCCGTCCTCTGGAGAGAGTACGGAGCACGGAGGTGGTGGGGATGTCGAACTAGAACAACGTCAACACCATCACCAACACCAACAACAGCAACGACGATGCTGTCGACTGCTGTGCAATCCCAAACACCTGATAGTCTGGGTGTGATGCGCAAATCGTGAAAGGTGCATGCACCATAGGGGTGAACGCTGCCACCAAGAGGCCTCATATTCCAACAGACACATCGACAACATGCCCCCGCCACGATCACCACCAACAAAAACAACAACAGCGACAACACCAACGCCAACAACAACAGTGTGCAAACCCAGACCTGGTAGTCGCCGAACTCCGGCTTCGTCGCGGACGTGACCAGGGGCTTGGAGTCTCGAAACTCCTCCCCAAAGGCGTCGGCTAGCGCCTCGCGCACGGCATCGACGATCGTGTCGCGAGGACTCGCCACACCCGCCGCTGCTCGGCAGAAGCACAGAGAAAGGAAGGGAAAAAGCGAAAGGGCTGTGAACGATTCAGCAAACGGGTGGCTCACTGCTGTTGATAAGGGAGAAACGGGCTTGGGGACGGGCGGGGACAAGAGAAAAGGCTGAACGATCAGCAAATTGATGGCTCACCCACGGCCATGGGCATCGAAGCAACCCACTTGAAAGTTCGATATGTTGGCTATTGACGCGGCAGAAACGGGGCAACAACTAGGCGGGATCAGGGAAGGCAAAAAAGAATCGCTGAACGATGCAGCACACTGATGATTCGACTGCTGCTTGACACGGCAGGCACTGGGACCCCAAGTCACCGGTTCAACAGCAGCTATTAATTCCACCGCTTCTCCTCGGAAATCGCGGGTCGGACTGTCGAGCGCACGGTACACCTACCTCCACGGCGTACACGTGCACCACACGCATCGTATCTCAACGAGAAAAACTTCGTAGCTTGATAACAGCAGAGGCAGCCTTGGTCCTTTTTTGGGGCTTTCGGTTGTACTCGGAGCCGGACCGGTACGGCCAATACAAGGTGCACTGAGCTGAGACCGGAACGGTTTCTTACGTGAACGAAACAACAACAACAACAATGATTTTGAGCGTTGTCGACGGGTTCGAGAATCGCCTTTTCCTCTGTCTCTTTCTCTGTGTCTGTCTGTCTGTCTGTCTGTCTGTCTGTCTGTCTGTCTGTCTGTCTGTCTGTCTGTCTGTCTGTCTGTCTCTGTCTCTGTCTCTGTATCTGTCTCTCTCCATCCGAACTGATGGCCATTCCGGGCAAAATCGTCACTAGCCTAGGTTTGCCGATCGCATCAAGCACACGGTGAGGATTACCACGGCTTGCGTGCGGCACACGTGGGCACGTCGACCCCCCGAGATTTAGGGGACGAAACCTCTGGAGACTTCAACCTCAAGCTGGGCTGCATGCCTCTGCCACACCCAGGACACCATCCACGGTTGGAATTCACATCCCACAACATGAAATGGGTTCATTCCACTTACGACCACAACATCAACAGGGCTGGTTCCTTTTGAGCGTTACAAAAAGACTCGGGTTCACTCCCTTTCACCACCACGACATGAACCATCCTCATTCCCTACAGCATCACAACGCGAGCCGGCCTCATTTTTCTATACTCCACCTCAACACGAACCAGCCTTTCTCCCCTACACCACCACAGCACGAGCCAGGCTCAACTCCCTCAAAGCATCACAGACACTTACCGGTGGTATCGAATACCGCAGCGTCAGCCGTCGCGGCCGCGCTCGCCGTCGCGGACATCATCGCGGGCCCCCACCCCCCCCTCCTTCCCCCAGCCGCCGGCCCCCCCTCGACACCCTTAAGCGCCAGCGTGCTATGTGCAGCTCGTCTGGAAGCGAATCGAGCAGTAGCAGATACCGACGCCGCCCCGTTGTGCCATCTCGGCAAAATCATGGACCTTGTTGAACTCCCCATAAGGCTCGTCGGTAGAAATGCGGTTACCGTCCTTTTGTGTGTGGACGGGGGCGGCGAAGGGGAATGTCGTTGTGCTGCAGGTTCGACTCACATGCATATCGACACGGCGGTCTATACGAGCGCGAATAGTTAAACGCGTAAGCCTAGGCGCCACATAGTAAAGTGTGAATATTTGACGCATGGATGCGTAGAGCTGGCTGGGTGGGCGCGAAGCGTGACATTGGCTTCAGAAATCGCTGTCCTGTACTTCTGCTTCTGTGTATCGGAAGATGGGACAGACGGAAATTGGTACTGTTGTCTGGATTACAGCAGTACTGCTGGTACACGCACATCGGCATGCTCGGAGAGCATGAACAAGACACATCGAGACCAATCAAATTATAACACGCCAACCTAAATCAACGGAATGAAAAACAGGTAACACTGCTGTAGCCACGCAAACAGCGTAGTGCTTGCTGTAGCTGCCCTACACATGAGACATGAAATGTCTCCCGAACGTCGCTTTCTGGAGAAGTGTGTCTCATGACATGATACCCAGTACATGTACAATATCGTAAATGACACAAGATAACACACCCCTGGACCGATTTTCAAATCTCGATTTCTAAACAAGAGAAAGAGTCACGGCGCCGAAAACGGCGGTGTTGGAACCGTCACGTCGAGAGCTTTCCAAAAATGTATTGTTTCGTTCATGCATCCCCTTCGTCGTGGAGTAATCGAGCTTTGAAGATTGGTCCAGGGGGTGTGTTATCTTGTGTCATACGGTAGGCTTNAAACAAGAGAAAGAGTCACGGCGCCGAAAACGGCGGTGTTGGAACCGTCACGTCGAGAGCTTTCCAAAAATGTATTGTTTCGTTCATGCATCCCCTTCGTCGTGGAGTAATCGAGCTTTGAAGATTGGTCCAGGGGGTGTGTTATCTTGTGTCATACGGTAGGCTTTGTCATACGAAAGGGCAGAAACCAGAACATTTGCATCAAACGCGTGCCAATACCGATACACTTCGCGTTAGCAAATATAATGTCCCCAATCTTGGAGCGCCAGCATTCACCAACCACGTTATCTTCACGCAGCACCGCATGCAACCGAGGGATCCCTGTACGTGCATGCACCCTGCGACGAACTGATGAAAACTACATACGGCGGTACATGGCAGAGTAGACGTCCGTGTGCAGCAGCTAGCCACTCGAGTCGCACGCATCTCGGGGGGTAATATGGGGGACGAGAGCAGCTGAATTCCCATCGAACTCGAGGTGCATCATGTGCAGGGTGTTGACCTTGCGCACTACTACTGCTGGACGGTTGCGTGCGGTGCAACTACTACGGCACTTGCGGTTGCCCGCACCCATGTGGCACGAGGTGCTGCTGTGTGCCGGCTATTCTCTCACATGGTAGGCGAGGTAGAACCCAATAGTGCCAACGCCGCCAGAGGCACAACGAAAAACTCCCTCCGATATGCGAGAAATGACCCTGGCCGAGTTCTCATGCTCCTCTACAGGGTGAACACAGCAGACAGCCCGTTGACACATGCGAGGCACGCGGGTGCTACGGTAGCGCTCCGCGGATTTCATTGCGGGGGGGGGGGGGGNGGGGGGTACCGTACAATCCGACCCTTCATGTGCGTGTGGCGGGCCTGGATGTGGTTACGACGCACCACGGTCACGTTGTATACGTACGTATTAATGAAGCCCGCACCCTCATACATGACGAGATCCACACGTCCTGGTGTTCACTGTCGTACTATGTGAACAACATTCGGATATGGATGCAACACATACCGTGGGTTGCATAAGATATGACACCCCCGGACCGAAGTTCGGAGTCTCGATTTCTAGGCTCTTCCCCCGTAGGCGATTGCCTCGTATTTTTGTGGTCGAGTTTGGCTATTATACTGAAAATAGAGGACAAGAAAAGTCGATTTCTCCGAAAGTGACGCAGTGAAGGTGCCGACAAGTGCAGCGTTGGAACCGTTTCGTCGAGACCTTCCCGAAAACATTGTACCGTGATTTGATGTTGTCATCCTCGTTTCGTCGTGGAGAGGAATCGAGCGTTGAAATTCGGTCCAGGGGTACACAGGGGGCGTGTCTTATAATGCGACTTGCGGTAATTGCCGCCTTTGTGGAAAAGCCAACACTTACGCGACGCTGAAAGAGATAGTGTGTGCCTCTGTTCCTCGACAGCTTAAAACGCTATCCTCTTCAAAGGTGGCAGTTGTCAGCTTCTTACCCCCTTGACGGACAGAAATCCCTCAAACTGCTTGACAGACAGCCTTGACAGCAAAAAACAGCGGACACGAGGAAATATCCCGCTTCTTGGAAACGTCTCGAATGTTCTTGAAAAATGTCCTCAATCTCTTGTTTTGCGGTACTTGGGCGCTTAAGTCTTCTCATCCCTTATCCAAGGTGTAATTGTCGGTTTTGGGTGCTGCCGGCTAGTATCTAGGCTGTTTCAGGACACTTGCTTGCCATTAGCAGTCGGCAGAAGGAAGCCGGAGGCAAAATATTAGGGGTTTCCATACAGATATTGCTGGCATTCTTCCATCCGGGGATAGGGGACGTTCTGTCATGACGACACCAAATGCCTTGACCGACAGCTCGACGGCTTGACAGCTGTGACAAGAAGCTGTCAACTACCATCTTTGATTCTCTTGGTACGCAAACTACAAGGCAGACCAGAACATTTTTCACCGTCCACAACAACACGAACGATGCGAATTTCGTTTGCATACTGCTGGGCCATATATTGCACACGTGTCTACGTTGAATGCTGCCATTCCTTCTCAAGACAAACAGGAATCAACCGACCACCCTCACAACCCTTCTCCACCGTGGGAGGGGCGGGTATCTAAGAAACCGGAACCCCTTGCCCCCGAAAAAAAAAATGTCGACGACAACAGATAACGGCTGCGACATGGAGACCGTCGCGAATAAGGTTATCTGCTCAAACGAGAAACACGAAAAAGAAGAGCGCAAACAGGAGCAATATTCCCGATACGGACAACGCGAGTCGCCTGTTGCTGCTGAGAGATCGCATCGTGTTCAGGAGTGCCAAGTGCCCCTGGTTCACGCTCTCTCCCGCATCCTCGACATTGTCGTGAACGCTGATTGGTTGTTCCCGGAACCAAACGGACAGGCGACGGAGGGGGGCGGGGTACCAATCAGTGCCTGCCTTTGACGTGAGCATTTGACCACCCAAATACGACGACGACAACATGCCATCAACATCAGCAGCAACATGACGATAAGCAAACAGCCGAAAGACGATGGTGCCGGCACGTCGTTGACGCCAATTCGAAACAAGCACAACGACCACCAAAGTAGCAACCGCAGCATCACAACAACGGCGACGACGATGACACACTACCGACAGAAACAGCATCAACGGAAGCCACAACAACAACGACAGCACCACCACCAACGACAATGACATACAAACGAACAACAACAACAACAACAACAACAACAACGACGACACACTGACGACGACAACACATACCACACCTTTCAACCATTTCTCGCTGGTCCTGAAGCATCGTCGCGAGCTTGTTGAAGATCAACCCCAGCTCGGCGATGTGCCCCTCTACCTCTTGAACAGCCGAAGATCTCGACTCGAGATACCCCTGCACGACAAGATAGAATAAGATAACGCGATGAAATCATTATCAATTTCTCCTAGACCGTTGCTACGAATAGCGATGGATTTACTGTGTGTGCTGAAAAACGCTATGAATGCATTACCAATGTTTCTAATAGACTATCTACGAAACGAGATGGACTTATTGTGTTAAAAAAAAAGAAACAAGTCAAGCGACACAGACCATGCAGCAGTGCGCGTCATCGCTGGAGGACCGGGAGTGTACAGAACTTACACCCCCCCAAAAAAAAAACAGGCCAAAACAACGTCCATTCGTGATGCAATGTTAATAAATCCTGGGAAGTTCCTGAGCGGTTGGGTGTACTGTGTTTGCGACTTGATTTTTGCACCATGTACGTTTTTTGGGTGTGGAAAGCTCAAAGAGTTTCACAAAAGGCACTTTAGTAGATTCATGTTTTTAATCAGCGGGGGTGAGGGATGGGCAGAGACAAATAAAGCACATAGCAACAAAGGAAAAAATAATCTGAACAAGAGGGCGAAAATCAACGTATGAAACAAAGAGCCTACCGCCCAAACATCAGCAATGACGTGACGCTTTTGATGTGTTTGCTACATACCTGATTTCCAGATGCCAGCTGCATCTGCATGAGCTGCTGCTGCTGCTGCTGCTGCTGTTGCCCCTGCGCCGCTATCAACGGCGTATCCGCCGAAGCCTCTTGTTCCGCTTCGGGATATGACGTCACCTGGGGTTGCCAACCGACAAAAAAAAATACGCCCAGCATCCAACCGGTGTTTCTCCCACTCACTGCAAGGACTTCAACCCATACCCTTCGACTACAGCTGTGGTTATTAAGCATCTCGAACGGGAAATCTTGCCTTGATTGGATGTATATTTTCGAAAAAATTGAAAGCTACAACATACATGACAAATAAATTGCATGTATTTTGTCTAAATACTTAAACGCTAAAATATACTCCTTCGAAGTACTACATAATGGGATGTGATTTTTCTAGAACAAAAAAATTAAATGTACATTAGGCGCTCGACCCGAGATAGTGCATGACTTTTTTTTGTCCGACTGCAAGAACGCAAACTATCGGCCGATTGAAAGGAAACACCGGTCTCGTGCCACACCGACGAAGGGTCTGTCTGGGTTGGGAAAACCAACAAATGTACCTTTTTAAGACCGCCTACTTAGGGCCGGTTGCCCTGTTAAAGGCCGTTGAAATCGCTTGGCACAGATGGAAAATTCAAGCCGTCTCAATGCTGTGAATAGGGCCGGGTACCCATTGTAAGGCCGGTGTTTTCCCTTAGGACCTCTACTGCACATGTAGACAATAGGCACAACGGAGGAAGACTTAAGCTTCCGAGGTACGGGAACTGCTGTGGACACAGCGGGAGACACCGCACACAGGAGGAACGACGCCTCGTGCTTGATACAGCACGCGCCACCACTTCAGAACTTGACCCTCCATTATTCCAAATGACGTGGCCAAAACAACAGGTACTGAGCCAAGAAGCCTAGACAGCCGCCGTGGGGGTGCAGTTCCCTATACACAAACGAAGAAACGAGCATCGGCCAAAATAATGAAGTGGTGTGACGCTCGATTCGGGACCATGACCCACTGGTCGTGCGGGTGAAAGCCCTCACCACAGTGGGAGGGGGCGAGTGTTGTACTTATGTAAGCCTATGCTGTAGTCGTTACACCAGAATTGAACTTGAACACAAACACGTTCTTTTCGTATATGTCCAAAGCGTCCAGGCGTTTTCGAAGACATCTTCTCGCAACCAAACCTTTTTTTCTGAGCAACAACTCGATCCATCCCCCAAATCTCGGAGTCATGCAAGAATCGTCCGCCTTTGTGCCAATCCTGAGCCGTACGTACGCACGGCCATCCATCCCACCTGTCCTGGTCGAGGAAGCGGTGAGCTCCCCACCCCCCCCGCCGCCCCTAACGCGCCCCCTGGGGGGAAACCGCCGTTGGCCCCCTGTCCCCCGCCCAGAGATGATCTCCCCTTTCCCTCTTCGCCAGACGGCTTCAAGGGCGAAATGCCTGCAAAAGAATTGTGTCGTAAGTTTAGCAGGATCGGGAGGGCAGGGGGGGAGGGGGACACCGTCAGTGAGATGCGGTGGTAGGTACCACAATATGAACGACGGGAAAACACACAAAAATGGGGGGGGGGGGGGGGGGGGCATGGATGGGGAAAAAAAAAAGGAGAGGGGGGGCAGCTCATTTGCCAAGAATTTTTGACGGCGACAACGGCAAAATGACACCAATACCAACAGCAACAACAACAACAACAACAACAACAACAACGACAACGATAACAGCAACAACAGCAACAACAACAACAACAACAACAACAACGATAACAGCAACAACAGCAACAACAACAACAACAACAACAACAACAACGACAACGATAACAGCAACAACAGCAACAACAACAACAACAACAACAACGATAACAGCAACAACAGCAGCAACAACAACAAAATCGACAACAACAACAACAACAACAACAACAACGAAACACCCACCTAGCGGCCGGTAGGCAGGCGGCGGCGCGAGCGCCAGGGTGGACGACTGGCTGCCAACGAACATCTCTCTGTGGTCCTTCTGGGCCTTGAGGTTGTTCGATCGCTGCTGAAGGACATTCTTGAACGTCTGTTGGGTGAGGGGATTCGGGCAGGCAGCGGGGCGCCCTCAGTACTTCCGGCTGAATGGTGCCAATGCCCGGTATAGTGCCGGTATTTTCGGCGGGAACGAACGCAAGTTCTGTACTCAAAATAGTGCCGGTGGCTCTGAATAGCGCCGATATGCTCGTCTGGTCCAAACCGTCACTATTGAGGGCCTCCCACTGTAGTGTACTGCTCTGTGTGTCTTAGACACTGCGTCCACAAATCAATCAACATGTGGAGATAGATCCCCTTCATCAAGGGTAAAATCATTCTTAAAATATCTGTCGAGGACGATTCCCTCTTTCCATAAAAAAAGCAAGGCGGACGTGTGCGGTGTGCGGCATACCAACAACTTCGATGTGGACATAGTACACGAGGATGGTGAACACACTACGACCGACTTCCATCGCACTCCAAAGCAAAACATGACCAGATAGAAATAAAAAAGAAATAGCGCAAGATTTATATATGAACGCACACCCTTGAACAAAGCAGCTGTCTGCCAAGCGACAATTCCCAGAAGTTCCAAAGGAAGCTACGTCCAGCGGATGGGAACGAATCTCGGAAGCGTAGGCGCGAGCTAGCAGCAGAGAACTCACAGGCTGATCGCTTGCAAGAAGCAAGTCACAAAACACACCTTCGCTGTATTGATCAGCTCCGTCTTCAGCTGGCCCACGATGTTGACGCTGTGGTTGGCAGCCTGGTTCCGATCCCCCATCTCTTGCTTTCGCCGATTTACGTACGTCTGGGGCAAGAGAACGCGCGATCGACGACAACGAACGGCGAAGATCATTATTGTCTGTCCCTGTCTCCTTTTCCTTCTCTATCTCTAGCTCTGTCTTTTTATCTGTCTCTCTTTCCTGCCTCTGTCTCTGTCTCTTTCACCCTGTCTCTCTCTCATGCGTCTCTGTCTGTCCGTCTGTCCTCCTGGCTACCTCCCTCCATCTTTGCCTACATGCCCCTCTGTCAATCACAACCTCCCTCTGGAGTGCAAACCTGACCCCAAAGCACAAAACAACAAAATGCCACAAATTTCGCCTAGCGGGCAGATATTTTATTGTACTCTCATGGTACTGGCTGACCTAGAGACTTGCAGGGTTGGACACGACAATAGTCAATTTCCCTACGACAAATTATTGTTTTTTGCTGTTTTTTGCCCTTCTACTTGCAAGAAGAACGCGCCATGGGTGCGCGCCAAAAACACTGGAGGCATCTCTCCCAGGAGTAGGAGCGGTGCGCCGCGCCGAAGGGAGGCGTGTTGGTCACAAGCTCAACCCTCAAGGGATGCAACAAATGAGTCAGTTACCCCCCGTTCGCGCTTGGTGATGTGAGAGCCTGGTTCGGTGAAAACCCGGCGTGGTCCTTCCCGACCTTGTAGGGATGCAAGGTCAATGGTCTAACGACTACTGTAGGCACGGCGATGAGTACACCCCCCCCCACATCCCCGCCCCGGTATCGTATCCTCTGTCTCTCCACACAACGCGGCGCAATCACCGGCAAGATGCAAGCGCACTACCAGCGAGCCTCTTTTCATCATACCTGCGAGGCATCCAGCTCGGCGTTGACGTCCTGCATCTCCTGCTTGATCACGTGCACGAGAGAGTTGATCTCTGCTACCGGGTCGTTGAACAATCCGCGCTGTTGAACCACTGCCACGAGAACAAAACAAGAAGAGAGAAGTGAGACCTACCATGGCAGCACATAAGTACAAATTGGGTGGTGCAAGCGACGAGCTTGGGCTTGAATCCATGTCTCGCTCCGGCAGAAGCTCGACCGGGCTGTACACAAAGCACCATGGTACTTTCAAGTCGTACCATATTCCAGCTGCGTGAGCCTCGCTAGGGACGCTATGTACCAATGGTGTTGTTGCCCCCACCTCCACCCCCGACATATTCAAGACTTCGGCAGACATTCCAGTTTTTGGAACACCATGAAGCAGCGCCTACTGTAACAGCGGGCACTGAACGTATCCTCTTGACAGACCACCAGCACGCCACGAACACAAACCTGTGCCGGTAAACGCAAGGAAATCTACCTCGCAGTATTGCAACACAACGGAACTAACTCCCCAACTCACGTTTGGTTAGGTGCTCCAGCTTCTGGGACACCTTGTGGATGCTCTTGGCGATGGAGGATGCCGCTGAGTGAAACTCCCCCAACGTAGACACCTGATGCGCCACGACCCCCGCTCCCGCCGCCCCGCCTGCTGCCGCTGCACGTTTCGGCTGCGACAGCAAAACGGCCGCAACAACAGCAGCAGCAGCAGCAGCAGCAGCAGCAGCAGCAGCAGCAGCAATAGAAAGGGCATGAGAGTGCGGTGGCAACAAGCACGCATTCAAGCAAACACACACAGGGCACGCAAGAGTCCCGGCGAATCGCACTTGGTCAGGGTTCGTCGATGGAATCTTTACACCGACTGCTTGCACGCAGAGTAGCATGAATACGGAACATGGGAAACGCGCAGAACAAAATCTCTCTCAAGGCAAAATAAAACTCCCTCTCATCAACCTTTATATGACAGAACAACAGTCGGCGAAAAAGTCCGACCTAGTCCACACCCAAGCGCGGCTTCGTTGCTCCTCCTGGGCGACGTGGAAAAAAACAAGGCTGACAAAACAACTGACCAATAGCCATATACAGACTCGAAATGAGCCCAGAATACTACCTGACAGCGCGTTCTTCGCCACTCACGCACGCCAAGACTTGAAAAAACACATCTCTCCGACCGCTGTGGTAGTGTCTCGGGACAGAGGTGTCTTACGTTAGCTATCGTACGTACACTTGTACATAATATGGCCACACATTTTTAGTCTATCTGGTGTGTTTAGGGCGCCAAATTGAGGCCGTGAAGACGATTGGCTTACCTACCGCAAGATTGTGCGTCCTATGGCACCCGGGTGCGATCGTTTTCTAAACCGTTTCTTCGCAGCCCCGGTGTTAGAACACACCGATAGGTCCCTATCTCTTCTTCTACAGATAAGAGTCCGGGACAGATTAGCAATGAATTCATCAAGTGTTAAATGATGACCATTTAGTATTTCTGCGGTTCCCCGATCAGCATTTATTGTAGCGATATCTCCCCTGTCGGCAACAGGCTGTCATTCTTCTGGCTATTTTGTTCGCATCCACCCTGGTGGTGCACAGCCCCCGTGATTGCGCAATTGCCCATGGGTGCAAAAACACGCGCAATTCTGGTACACTTTAGGTCAATACAAGGGGGCTCTGCCTGCACCACCCCCTGCGCTTAAGCCGCGTGTGAGCATGAGGATAGAGTCTAGCAGGAGGGCCTACGGTAGAGACAAAGGTTGACGACTGCGTGATGGAAATCATGTACAATCGTGGCTCCGATCTAAGATGGCGGTGTGACAAAGGCCCTCGATCCTCTTATATCCCCCCTCTTCTAAGCGACCCTCTTTATATGGGAGCCATGACTGTACGTCAATATCGTGGATCATGGGTGGGCCTGCTGGCCATGTGGTGACCCGAGTATTCTGGCACGAACGCAGTGGGATGGCGCCTCTCCGTCAGCGACTGCCGAACAGCTTCTCACGTACGGCAGTTGCGGCCCGCAAGTGAACAAGGCTCGGGTCTTCGCCGCGAAAAATAGGACAAGTTGACTGACAACACACCTTCTCAGTTGAACACTAAAACTTCATATAACAGTATCAAATGAAATACCTATGCTCGACGGTGGTGACCAAGTAAATAAAATTGAGCCTCGACCCCAAATTTACGTTTCGTATTCTCCGGCTCTAACTGCTGTAGAGCTTGGTGGAAAACAGAGATGGACTCGCTGTGTCATACAGTATCATAGTACCAGGTACGGCTGGTATTAAGAAGAAAAGAAGCTCTCACTAATGCACACAGACGTCAACCCCTCCCATTCCCGAACTGGGTGTGGACGATGTACCTCGAACGGGCAAGTCATTTCGCCGGTACAACTGTAATTGCACCTTCACAACCCATCCTCTTGTACAGTGGTTACATCTCGAACAGGTGGTGTTTCTTTGATTACACGCATGTGTAATTCCCAAAGAGGCTGCTGGTTGCCTTCTGGCAAAGAGTCTACGGGCGTTTCAACTCAGCAGGTGGGCACCAACGACCCAAAGCTTGATCCACCCCCTCTTGGCCCCAAAAACCTGCTTGTGCTTGCCGTTAAGAGGCGATATGGCACCCCCCGCTGGAACGATATATATATAAAAAAAACGATTGCTCCACAACCAAGATCGTGCCAGCACCGAAAACGGTGTTTTTGGAAACACCTCGTCGAGGACTTTCCGTAGGGGCCCTTTCCGCTGCACCCCGTTGGTTGTGGAGCAATCAAGCGTTGAAAGTCCAGGCAGGGTTTAGCGGTGGTGCCATCTCTTCGCCTCTTACGGGTAGACACCTTGAGGTGTGGTTGGGGAGGTGGCGTTACTGAGATGCCGTTCAGCAGCTGTCAGAGGCGCGGGTGCCCTTGCGAGCGATAAGCGACCATTCCCGTCCAAAGTCGACGATGACATCCAGAGTTGTACTTTTAGAGAGTAAATAAACATAACGTCACAGTTAGGCTACCCGCTCGAGATAAAACTCCAGTCGAAAGGAATGTGCTGAAGTCTTCAAAAAAAAATCAAAGTATCACCGGCGTGAACAGCATTCCCTTCTTGTCCAATAGACATGCTGCAAGCAGTGCCACCGCGAAGCAAGCATCAGCACCACCGTGGATGGCAATCACAAAAAAAAAAAACGGGGCTGCTTTTTCTTGTGTGGGGACAGGCCTTCCGCCGCCTCGCTCACCTTTGGAGGGTGTGGCGATGCGCGACGTGGTTGTGGCGGAAGTGCCGCCGCGATCAATCTGAAGTCATCGGTCCGGTCGGTCATTTTCCCTCTCGAGCTGATCGCTGATGCTCCTGGTGCTTAGTACGGCTGATGCGGCTGCTGCTGCTGCTGCTGCTGCTGCTGCTGTTGTTGTTCCTGCTGCTTCTTCTATAAGCGGATGCCTGTATTGCCCGTCCGTTCTAGCTCGAAGGCCTTCACTGTGTTGATGACGTAGGGTGTATCCTCGTTTGTAGTATACCACTACTAGCACAACCTCCTCTGTCTGTGCCTTGTACCTCGGAGATGCTCCGCGTCTAGCAGTCCTATTCGACGTAAACAGAATACTGTCCGCCTCTCTCGCTAGCGCCGAGAAGAGGAGCCCTGCTCCCCCGACCGCCTTCACGAGCAAGGTAGAGAGAAAGAGCCCTGGAACAGCAGTGAAGCAAGAAGCCCAGAGTAGCCTTATGTTATCCCTTCAAGGCAAGACACGACGGGAAGCCGCACCCCGGCACCCCGCACTGCTGTGTAGTCTACGTATTCCCGCTGTAGTTGTTCCGGAAGAGTTTGCTGGAGATGGAGCGCAGAAGACCAATCGACAACACGGGTGGTGACCTATCTCTCCTTCGAGGTGCGACTATCGCCCCCAAGACAAGGAGCCCAATAGACTCACTGCAGTTGGTGATATTCTCTGTGCCGCAGGAGCGCAAACGTGTGCGGTGCTGCACAGCAGTGCGGAAGCCCAGCACCCATAGGGGGCTCCGTGAATACTTCCACCTGAACAAGCCCACCCAGACCCATTTCGTAGTGCTTCGAGGGCGTGCTTCGACGGTTTCAGCCCAGCAATAGAGAACGAAAACACAAGGCAACATCACAGCGGACGATTTGCAGACGACAGACAGACGACACCGACCAGCACGCCGAGCCATCAGGCCATCTCTGTCATGGGAGATCGCTCTCCCCCTCCGATTTTCTACTGATGACAGTACTCTGCTCCGTGCGCTGGATGCGGCAAAGATCATGTCCATGCTGCTTCCACCTTCTGTGGTTCAGCAAGTGTTGTTGTTGTTGACTTCACATTAAACCGTATGCCAGTTGCTAAATGCCAAAATCTAGCAAAGACTCTCGGCCCGTGGTCACGAAAGTGCTAGAGCCATCTGAGGATCTAAAGAACACGCACACGTAGCAAGAAAAAGGTGTACAAGAGCCCGAAGAGGTACTACTACACCTA